AAGTCGAAATCCCGCACAAAGAAAGCCGAGCATGCGGTCACAACCCGGGTGACTGAGATACATGCGAGCACGAAGCCTTACCCTCATTGGTGGACCGATACCGAAGAGAGCGGCATTCTGCGGAGAAGAAAGAGCAGTATGGACACTGTCTTAGAGAGAAACATATGCTTCGTAGACACTCCTGGGTACTCACAAGGCTCTGCGGAGAAGGATATGAGCATGGTGATAGACTATGTCGAGTCGCTGTTATACCAGACCTCATCAGTAACAACGTTAGAAGACAATGATGTGCTTGGGGTCGTCAGTGGTAGTGGGGGCGTCCTAGTTGACGTCGTCATATACTTGCTCCCACCAAGTAAGCCAAACCATCGTTCGTACTGTCATTCTTACTAACTTCACCCAGATCGAGACATCACGAAAGATGTGGAGTACATGCAACGGCTATCGCACTTTACCAACGTCGTGCCTGTCATTGCCAAATCAGACACACTTTCGGCGCAAGAAGTGGTAGCTCTAAAGACGTCCATACTCGCACGGCTGCAAACCACTGCTCTTAGGCCCTTCTTCTTCGGAAAGGCTATGGACGATGCCTTACTCGCCGTACAGGGCCTTCCGGTCGCTAGGACTTCTGGATCAGGAGCGCCAAGTGAGGCAGCTGAATACCCCTTCACTACACCAACCTATCCTTACGCCGTCTCTTCGACGTCTGGTCCGGACCACGATAATATGGATGCGTCCTTGCTCATGTCGCCCGACTACGTGCAGCCTCTTCTTCCCTCTGAACTCGCTACCCTGGTCAACCAAGTATTCGACCCTGACTCCATTGCGTGGCTTCGGCATTCGGCAGCAAAGAAGTTCTTAGCATGGCGACGCAGGATAAAGCTACCAGGCGACTCTGTAATGCTGCAAAGTCTAGCTCAACCACGCAGTCCGACCACGGCTTCAGTCGGACTGAACGGAGCCCACCTGAATTGTAAGATCATCTCCCCGCCACATTGTGCAAGCTAACCTCTTTATCAGCATCCGCAGCATCCTCAGTATTCTCCGCTGCATCGCCATCGGGTGTCCTGGTACCCGGATCAGGATCACCATTCTACCCATCGAACCTACAATCCCCTCTCCTCGCCTCCTCTCCCTCCCTAGCCAACTCCGAGTCTCTCGAGCCCCTTGGCAACTTTTCACTGGCAAGGTACAACAACACTGCGCAAGGCGAGCAGCGCCTCAACGAAGTACGGATAGCAAGATGGGCAACAGATCTGCAGCGCAGCCGACGGAACGAAAGAGAAAGGTTCGAGGAACTCCAGAGCAACGACAGGGCGAAATGGCTGCTCGAGCGCGTCGGCGAGGAGGTATCGAAAGGCACAATCGTCGCGTCGCCTGGCGGTTCACCGAGAGCTGAATGGGCGATCGTTAGACACAATAGCGACGACAAGAAGACTGCTAAGATCAGTCAACGCTATGCCAAAGCTGTTGGACTGGACTCGCGAGATCCACTTGGCTTGTGTAACTTCGGCGACGAGTTGAGGCGACAAAGCTTCGTGCTGGTCAAGGTGCTCGGCGGCATGAGTGTGTTGGGTGCTGTCGTCGTGGCTGTTGTCAGGGCGTGCGGCATCGAGACCGGGCTGCCTCAGCTCGGATGGTGGGAGTGGATTACCAACTCGGAGTAGTTGGCCACTATTGCTCGCTGCACGTATGTCTCTTGATTAGCTTTATATCATGTATGCTGTGATACCTTATAGACACTCTTCTACATTGTAGCTTGACGGGACATCTCGAGTCTAGGGAACAGAATCATACTCTACGGGGAATGTGTGCTCGGCTTCGATATCGGTGACATTGTCGCAGTGATGGTAGAGTGTGTTTTCAATACGCCGGCTTGATGATGTGGGTAATGATGTAATGCTTCATTATTGCATTCGGGAATGCGTACACATAGCTCAGCAATCTAAATTGGGTCATTCGCTGTGGGTTGGGTAGATTGGTCGGGGATAGCATGCTGCATTCCAGACTGATACGGGCTGCTGATAGTCCATCATAGAACGGAGTGCCTTAATCCCATCACTCGACTAAGCGAAGACAGCCTCATGGGTAATGCAGTGAGGCATGGCGCAACAGCTAGCGTTGGGTGTGTAATCAACACTTCCGGAGAGTGTTGGGGGTGACGCCTGTCGAATTCATTGACTGGCGGCGCTTCAGTGGAGAAGCAAGTGTGGGTGCTGAGTAGCGTCACGAATTTGCACAGCATGCACGTTGTACCAAGTAGACAATGTGCATTAAGTGGCCAACACCCAGTCGAGATCTGTGGTCTGGTAAGCCTGAATTGTGCGTGAGCCCTTGATGGGCTGGCGCTTCAGCGAGTGCAAATCAAACACGGCTCGTTGCTAGAACGCCTATTGCGGTGTGCAGATGCATCTGGGCCGTTGGGACTCGATCATACCATCTCCATCCAATAGGCCACACATTTTGCCCTTTCTCGGATAATGCAAGTTGATCTGGCGCCCTCCGCTTGATCGCAGCGTGCCTTTAATGCTGCAGCTCCGCCACCGGTTGGGTGTGAAGGAAGTATGGAACGGGGCGCTGGTCTGCAGTGCATCGTGCCGGAAAGAGAAAGAGCTATTCATTAGATACATGACGCGATATCATACGTGTACTTGTTGAGTGCTGTAGCGGGGAGCGAGAGACGGAGATGGGCACTGCGTACTGCCTTGCCATCCGGATTCTGCGTAGGGGGTGTATGGAACCCTGTCAGTATAAGCATACTACCGCCTATCGCGTCCCGCTAGTAAGGTCATGACATTTTCCGCTTGTCACGATTATTGGGGCTGGATCGTGGGAATTGATCTGAGCTCCCGCGAAAGGGTGTGATAGGCCAAATGAGGGTGTTGGGACGCAGATGTGAGTCTGACGGGGGCATGGGCCTTTGATGCAATTCGAGCGTCTGGGTGTGCTATGGGACTCAGAGATCTCCTGTGCGAGGATCGGAGATGGTTGTTCTGCGGCGTTCACTCACGTTTGTCTCCACGTGGTCTATTTTGACCTGCACATCCACGAGATTAAGTTGCAGCAAACTTTATACACATTGCAGAGGGCATTAGCAGGAATTTTATCCTGTCGTGTTATATTTGGGGGTGGCTGTTCTATTGTTCTTGCATTAGGGTTGAGAGCTGGTCATGTTTGGGCTCAGATATGCGGCATCTCAACACTTCAAGAGAAGTGACCGCAACGTGACGGCTCTTCAAGCTTTTCAAGCTATGCGTTGAATGACTTGTCGTCTGAATCTTACATTGCTGATCAGTCACATCATCTTAGCATGAATCTGAATGTCATCACTAGCAGAGTACATACAGTATTTGGTACCTAGGTAAGAGCAGCCCCACGCACCCAAATCGACATCTCACGCAAAGCTCATTCGCAGTGTATTCTGGAACGTCATATTCATCGAATCATGATTTCAGTAAATGGTTGATAAGATTTTGAGCACGGCATCACATTGTGTATGCTAACCGCTGCCGTTGAGCATTCGGCAGTTTTCAGTGCTGTCTTGGACATGCCGAGCGATGATTGTCTTCTAGATGATGATCATAACGCTGGTGTCGCGAGATCTTCTTTATTGCCGTCGCCATATTGCAGTTGAGTACATGAAACGGTTCTTAGTACAATGAACACAAATACTGCCTACGATGTAGGCCACATGTCGAGCCAGAGCCCTGTTGAAAGTGTCTAGGTTGTATTCATCCGCCGCACATTGTTAAGAGCAATGCATAGGCGGTGCAACATGAGATACTAACAGCGATCATTATGGTGGGTGCTATGATACCGGTGGTAGTAGTCGCAGCCAGTACCTGTACGGATGCTCGTAACCGCAAATCCTTCAGTGGCTCGGTAACAGGGATTCATGACCCTCCTGCCTATCCAAGGAAGCCTGATTCCGTGTAGCCCCGTATTCTTGCAGTAAGTTGTACTATTTGGAATCACTACGCCGTCAAAGTAATCACGGTTCCTAGGTTCCACGTGATGCGGCTCCGCCCATCCAGTGAAGCTCGATTGCCAGGGGTCGGCGGCAGATGATGACGCCAGCGGGCCGCGGGAATCTATCCGTAAAAGCAAGACCCACGGAGGTGGGTTTGACTTCGTGTCAGCTTCACAGTAGCGCGTGTTTTCAGTTGCTCGATGTCAGAAGGTTGTGGAAGGACGCACGCATCGTGGTGTATGCCAAGGATGGAAACCCGACAGCATGGCAAGGTGCGCCATCTTGGGGATTTGGCTTAAAGGCCGCGTAAGATATTGGTGTAGATGACCCAAAAGTAGGAACTAGACGCTGGAAAAATGATGCCAGTACAGGGAGCACACCGATCGTGTGGTGTAAGAAGGCAACCGAGTGATGGAAGACAAGGAAGAGTGCCGAAATAATGCAACACAAACATTTCGGCTGAATGCTCAGGTATGGCGCTTGTCTGAATATCTCGTCATGTCGTCATGCCGTGAAGGCACATGAACTCGATTCTGATAGGCTCGCAAAACCCAAGGGGCGAGACAAGCGCATGGCGACTATGGTTACTCGTAAACGGTGGAGCTCTCCCACGAAGTGCGCCATGATGCAGGGCCCCGGAGATGCACCATGACGGAGATGTGATGGTGTCACCATGGCGTTGGGTTATGGCCTGATTCTTGCCGCTGCATCATGTGTCCTGCCGGGTGTGCTTAGAACAGCGGCCCCCACGAATACTGGGATTGGCCGGCAGATGAATCCCGCATGGCGCGATTGCCGATATCTCGAGTTGCTGCCATATTCGTATACGAGCGTTGTACCAGATCTCCACAACTTACAACTCTGTGCTCCATCGATCCTGCGCTCGTTTGTCTGGCGTTTGACTTGCGACAAAAGCCCACCTGGCCGGCCTGCAAATATACTATAATGCGAAGCCGCCGGTTTCACATGTCGACCGTACAGTATCTCTGGTCTCCACCAGTTTCGACACTGCATGGCGGCTGCAGGGTTCTTATTGCAAAGCACTGTGCTTCCGTTCTTCCGCCTCTTCCCAGACGCATCTAGCGCACATACAATCTCCGCCAAGTGCTCCAGAAGCCCATTCCCGTCTCTCCTTCACCGGCAGACGTACGTCGCAGTAGTGGCCAAACACCTCTTCATCTCTCTTGAGACCAGGCCCCTTGTTCGGGTCTCTACCCTTCCAATCAACCAACTCTTCGCGGGTCCAAAAGCGCATCGACCCACGCCATTCCCAGGCGACATTAGGATCACAGCTATGATTCGCGAGGCACCACATAGGATGAACCGCGCTAATTTCAGGCCTTCCATCGAGCCCCTGCTGTGCAGATGCTGTTCCCCGGAACTTCGCATACAGAGTGTTGAAGACCCAGGTATCATAGCGGTGACTTTGGGTGAAAATGTTGATGTCCATCTTTTCTAGAACATGCAACGGCATGAGTATGTTGCTCTTGAACGAGAAGGGAAGCGTTTGCGGTACGTGTGCAAAAGCATCGCTCAGGCGACCCGAAGCATCCGCTTGCCACACGGTCTCGAGATCTTTGCCATGATAGTCACCCCAAATGTATCGCACTTCCTTCAACTCCAAAGGATGGAGATCCAGGGTCTCCGCTAACGCTAGTGCGCGGACAAGGAGAAGGGTATAGAGATAGTCTGCCGCCTCACGTGCGGGTACCTTGCCCTGGTCGACGCTGACACCACATAGTGCTGGATGATACTGGTCTTGAGCTAGGTCGTGGCACTCCTCGCTGCAGAAGAACACTTCTTCACATTCTTCGCAGGATATCACTGTGTCGTCCCCATTCGAAAGTGGTATAACGCAAGCATCGCAATACGACTCATGGAGCCTTGATATAGCGGTAAGTAGCGACTTTTCCTCTAAGATGGTCGCGCCAGGCATGATGTCGTCTTTCGCAAATAAGCCCAATTGTTTCGTATAGTTCGTTTCCGGGTTTGTTCCGTTAGTCGTCGTAGTAGTGCTGAGAATAGGCAACTCAGAGACTCTGACCTCCAATTGTGGTGCTATATCCGCAAGCTCCTCATTCAGGAAGTCGAGACACTCTGTAGAGAAGCGGTCCGGCTCATGATGGTTCCAAGGATATTGTTCGCGGCGGACGAAGCCCTTGTCAGGGTAGTCTTCCACATCAACGTTCTCAGCAGACTCCCCTTGACTTTCGAAGTAAGTCCGCAAATGGTTCCACAGAGACTTCTCGTAGTCCTTGAAGACGGGATCTTCCGGGAAGGCTTTTCTTGCGCGAGATATATAGTCAGATGCACTACGAAGACATCCACAGTTCAATAAGCAACTGATGAGTATATCATGACTGTAAAGGTCAGCTTCCGACTTGAAAGTACAGCAAACCCACGCTGGTTTACGTACGCGCTCCTGGACCAGCGCGTTTGCGCCCATGTCAAAATGTCATCATCTTCTAAAGACGAGTTCTTCTCCTCATCCTTCAGGTTCAATCCTGTCATACGTTCAGAGATAACGTCTGTTCGTGCTGCCTCCAAAGCTTCGTCGTGGTATTCGCCTTCATCGAGTACTTCATCCACTAAGATCAAGGCCTTGTACGCATCGCCCGCGGCGAGATCTGGATAACCAAGTGCTTGGTACGCTTTTGAAAGCCGAAGACGGCTTGATATACTGTAGGGCTCTTCGACCGTAGCCTGCTGAGCCGACACAACTTCCTGTGTTAGTCTCTCACGAAGATTAGTGATTTTCTATGAAAGTCAGATTTGTCGTGAAATTCCCTTCAGTCGCACTTGCCTCCATGTTTCTTGTCAAATCAATTAGTGCTCTTTTAAGGTATGCCTGACACCCGTCGAGACTTCGGAAACTTCTGCAAGATCGTGTGGGGGCGGAATTAGCGGCTGCGCTATCGATAAGGCTAGCTCGACCTTCATCAACACACCATCGCACGCCACAATGCCTACGCGTGACATACCAGCTTCGCCATCAAGCGCGATCACTTGAAACGAGCCATAGGTGTGCAATAAATCTGACGATATGCTTCCGTCTGCAGCAGAGCTTGTCGCGCGGTATCTGAGAGCGAATGGGTACACTCAAGTTACGTCATCCATACCCAGGTGATGTGAAGGTGCTAACACCGATATAGACCTTGAACAGCTTCGTTCAGGAAGCCGACTTACCTTCTGATACGGGCTCAGCTGCTGAAAATCCGATTACTATCGAGTCTATCTTGCAGGAAAAAAAGACTTTCGACCTAAGCCTCAACTTTGAGAAGCTTGGTGTTGATGACGCAAAGCAAGCATGGACCGTCCAGGCGCCTGCTAAGCCGAAAGTTGTAGAGTCTTTACCGAGTCGATCCAATATACTCAGCATTTCCGTTCTCGACCTGTTACTACCATCAACGACAGCAATACAACAGTATGTTGCCGTCACCACGGCTGACCGTCAACTACACCTGATGGATCCGAGCACATCGTCGCTTGACTGCATCCAGACGATTTCCAGCTTCCAGGATTCTCCAACTCTAGACATAGTTCCGGTAGACTCCAGACGACTGCTGATAGCTTCGATGTCTGGCAAGCTGACGCTGTTCGATGCGGCCGCCAACGCCATACTGGAAGAACGTAAAGACCACTCCAAGTATCTTGTCAAAATCTCCACCTGGTCTTCAGAAGGCGGTCCCATGCTAGTTGCCAGCGCGGGATGGGATGCCAAAGTAGTCCTATATCAGCTTGATCCCAATGTCGATCAGCCGCGACTAGGGGACCCAATAGCAACCTTGTCGTTACCCAGCATTCCAGAGTCGACCTTATTCGTCACCTTACCCGGAGACGGAACACCAGTCCTGGTAGTTGCTCGAAGAGACTCGACCGTTCTGCATTTCTACGCTGTACCTAGCCCAGAGTCACCAACGTTCACCCTAATCGGCAAGCAGAATCTTGCTCCGCATTCCAATGCCTGGGTTGCATTCACGCCATCCGATATCCAGATCTGCCCTACAAATCCACATCTTGTGGCGATCGCTACCTCCAGCACGCCGCATATGAAGCTATTGGTCGCGAAACTTCTGCTTCCTCCTACTCGTTCTTCAGTGTCGGATACAGGTACTAGTCTAGACTCCGATGGACCCATCACACAAGCGTCGCAAGCCCGGGCTGAGCTGCTCGTTGCAGATAAAGAAGAAGCGGCTATATTAGTCAATGTCTCCACTCTTGCGCCACAAACCGCTTACTCCACGCCGCGTCTCGTCTGGCGACCTGATGGCTCTGGTGTTTACGTGAGCTCTGATGATGGTGTGGTTCGTGGCATTGAAACCAAGAGTGGAAAGTTGATCTCATCATTGGAGGCACACGAGCCTGGGTCAAAGCTACGATGTCTCTGGGCGGGCCAGATGGTAGGGCCTAGTCTCCCTGGTTCAGACGACAAAGGGAAGGCCGAGTTCTTGATAAGTGGGGGGTTCGATCAGAAGCTTATCGTCTGGAGTTCGGCTTGATCCTTCTATATGCAATGTTGTCTCGATGGAGGCTATATATCATACTCAGGGTCATGCATACGTACTTCATGACTTTCCAGAGTAAGAATAACAATGTGCAGCTCGTTTCTGGTACTAATCCTTCATTGGGAAGGATGCTGCTGACTCGACTATATTTGATCCACAATTGGCGCTGTATTGCCCCCAAACGATGCAATAGATATGCCCTAAGGGAATTTAATCCTAGGTGATATCGCTTACCCATTCATCTACTATGCTTCATCCAGCAACGGCTATCTAGTATGCAAGCAGCCATAGCTGCGGCAACGTCCGAGGCGTGCCGCAACGCCTCTATCACTAAATGCATGCAAAGACCGATCATAATCGACAGGAGCAGGACCGGCAGGATTACTGGGTCTTTAACATGTCTCATTTACTGAATGAAGTATGGTACTAATTCTTTTTGATCGGCAAAGGCAGTATGCGACACCCCACGTCGATCCGATGCCTCAGCAGCTGCCTCACGAATCTCGTAGCGACGCAACCAGGAAATGCAATAGGTACGGTTGTATGTTCCAAGATGAAGTTGATGACGCTATCAGCAAGCCAGTGGCGGCTTTTACGCGGCACCTAGCGCTGTTAACGGGATGGCGGTGCCATGCACCCTTGCACCTTAAGGACCGCGATCTCGATAGCTTGAGATCTGGTGGAAACGAGATTAGACGCCGCATCAACGCCATGGCTTGAGCTTCAAGGATCAATCTCTTGCTCCAGATCTGACTGCAGACCGGGACGGGGAGGCTTCCTATAGGTAGTTCGCCGACTATCACAAGGATATCCGACCCCTACTCTTACGATGCCGGAACGGGAGATCATGGCTGATGGTAGTTTAAAAGCAGAAGAACGGATCTCGTCCTACGCGATCTGAATCTCAAGTTCCCCGATCGTTCTCATCCCAACTCCCATCTTCGATTTGCTATCGAATGAGCCCTGATCAATCAAATTCTAGTTCAATTACATATTGAAGTGTCCTTGGAGGTGGATATCTCCAGATACAGTCGCCACACTCGCATTTCAACAATGTCCTACACAGATTCTCAGAAGTATGGAGATGAAGACTTTCTTCTTGTCGTCTCTGGGACAACACGTTATGCTCCCTACTTGACTGGCTGGCAAGAATTCAAGGACCACCTTCGCAAGGTGGTCAAAGAGCAGCCGGGATGGGCTGATGTATATTCCAGCCAAGGTCAACGACGAGGGGAGATGCAGGGGTGGTGTCGTCTCAAGGACAGGGAGGATGCCGATGCAGTATACAGTGCGTACCGAAGTTGCTAAACTTGGGTAACACGACGCTAACTCCATCCGTAGAAGTCTACTACCGTTCAAAGGGCATGCTGGTGCATGTGTGGGAAACGAGTCGCAAGGGTGATGGCTACCGATTAATGCGTTGCAACTGCTCCACATTTTTTCCTGAAGTACCCGAAGGAGGCCACTCCACTGGGCGTTGTGGTATCGACATCGGAAGAGTAAAACAACTTGGCGGCGCCCGCGCGAGCACGACAGCAGCATCTGGGCCATACATGACAACACAGGCCAGGTACCCGTACGCAATGTACCCGCAGATGCAAACCTATTCCCCCCAGCAAGTCGCATATACCCATGCCCCAGTTTATCCAGCCTATGCGTTGCCACAACCACCTGTATACTCGACTAGCACGAACGGAATGCCAGTCAATGTCCGGGGTGGAGCAGTCTTGACTGAAGCGCGCGGTATCTTCATGCGTAACCTCAGCTACAAATGCACATCCGACGACCTCAATGCGCTGCTGTTGCAAACCGTCGGATACGCCATCGAAATCCAACTCATGAGAGATAGCCGCACCGGCGTGTTCAAAGGCGTGGCAACCGCCAAGTTTGCCTCAAAGGATTTGGCGCAACACGCGGCAAACACGCTGAATGGGCGGGAGCACATGGGCATGGTGCTGCACGTGCGCATGGATACCGATACCACGGTGGTAGGACGAACTGAACCCATGGTTGTGAACGGGTCGTACAGAGTACGTTGATGAAGTCAATATGACGAATCAATTTCTAATACAGTGTAGCATTGATAGCTATGAAATGGAACATGACTTCAGTTTTGCGACACAAATAGTCTCTTAGGAGGTCACCCGCGCTTCTTCATGCCACGAGGAACAGCCGTGTGGCGTAGTGATATGATGCTGTCACAAAAGTCTTGCATGCGAGGGCGTTATTGTGGAATGTCCCACTGTTCGGCTTTGTTATAGGGAACGGGTAATCGGAGTGAGGATGACAGCGGAGCAATGTCCATTACCGGTTGTATCGCCTCAAGTTCTGTGTACCAAGACAGCCTTGAGCCCCGCGGCGCAGGGTTACAGGGGCGCTAGATCTTTCGGTTTCAGATCCTAATGCCGTCGTACATATTCCCGCAAATGTAAACTGGACCAAGCTCGAGCGTTGGCTAGGGCTATACCAGCCGCAAATAAGGCATATGACGCCGTCCTACTCCAGACAAGTTTTATCGGCTCGTTGTCCACATGGGTTGGTTGAATTCTAGAAGATCTGTGTAAGGGAAATCACATGTGAAGCCACTCTTCTCAGAGTAAACACCCGCAGTGATCTCGTGTATCGAAGGCTGACGTCCAAGTAATGCAGACCAGGTTTCCGGGTCTCGTGGTCGCCTAATCTTATCTGTCACAAAGCAGGCTGAACGTTAGATCGTCTTCGTTACGAGCCACGACAGGGCGGACTTCCTCGGTGCCCAACGTGCGATACGGGGGTTCTGGAAGAATTAATGAAGATCCAGTACGTATAGCACTGCCGCTTTTACATTCCATTCTGGCTCTATCTCCTTGAGCATGGTCGATACCGAAAACTCTCGGCGATGCGCCCTTGCCCAGAGAAATGTCGTATGATTATTGATGTATTACATGCATTCATGTAGGTCACATTCGCGTGATACCCATGATGACGCGCTCACTGGGTTTGTTGCACAGCTATAGGAGGGTAATGAGACGTCAACAACCCCACACGATACAAGGATACTCGCTGGCTCATTTCGGCGGCTGGGATGGAGGAAGAAGAACCCAAGAGATCTCGAAACGAAGACTAACGCACGACGCACCGCGGGGATCGTGGTCAGCGACCCGTTCCGCACCGACGCTATAGCGGTGTGATATCACGCTACATGGATAATGAGTAGTAGGGGTGCAGGCGTGATGCAGGATGTTGGGTTTCACGGCGTCGCGCTACCCACGCGTCTTGTGTACGGCAGAACACGAGCGTTAGGATGGCTAAGCGATATTATCTAGATTCGAGACGACAATGAATGAGCGGATCATACTCTGCTATCGGCTGTCGCACTCCAAGAGGCCAAGATCCAGGGGCTGCAGATGTGGAGCCGTGATCGAGCGGCTTTTGTGGAAGGAAGTAGGCCCCTAGTACGATACGATCTAAACGCCTCACTTTCGCATATGCATTTTGCTTTTAGTAAGCCCTACTGAGTGTGAGGACTTGTTAGAAATGCAAGCGCGATCGGGAGACATCGTTCTATCTTTATGATAGCATCAACAAATCTTTAAACAACGATATCGCTGACGTTTCGACCAACAGCATCTCTCTGAATCGTCAGGAGCCTCCACACACAACCACGGTACTGCGGTGACACACCACACTCCAGCGAACAACATCAAAGCTATCGCAATCATACCGTATACCAAAGTACCATCTCAATGACCAGCACGAACCAGGACCAGACCGCAGTCTGAGTCAAAGGCGCACTCTATTCATTCTGATATCGCTGACGTTCACTTCGCCGTTGATACGAGCCAGGATGTAGGGCCGATTGCGGGCCGTCATCGGTATCGTCCCTACGTACCGATACCAAAACCCGCCTGTGCAGCAGCTGGGAAGCAAGCCACCGGTTTCTTCCGTCACGGCTTGTCGAGCGAAGTAGCACGAGTAGTACACTCTGCCTAATTTAAGGCTTTCAACTCCAAAAAAAAACGATTAACAATCGCATATGATTCATATGACGAACGCGCAGCAAGATAAGGGTTTAGAGTTGGACTAGAGGACTACGATATCAGCTTACATCCCGTTCATGTGCTAAACTCTCCAACCCTTCTTCTGCGACTTCACGATAACAATCCAAAGCACCACCAACCAACCCGTCCCAACCATCAAACAAGCGCCACTCCAAACCTGCACCCCAATGAAGTTGGTGTGTCCGTCCGTCTTCTTGAGTAGAGCCCCAGCAATCGGCGCACCGATAAGCGTAGCAATACTAGACACACTCCAACTCATGCCCAGCCTCGTTCCCAACCGCGAAAGATCAGGTGTGATGTTTGCGAAAGCCGCAGATGGCACAGTAACTAGAGCCGCAGAGAAGAAACCTAAGTTCATAGTTAGTCCAATGTGACACATGAGGTAATAGTAGCAACGTACCCCACAGTATACTGAAAGCAATAAAGCTCTTCTCAGTCTCTATACTGATCCAAACCAGTGCCAACAACCCACTCGCAAACGCGCAAAGTCCCCATGTGACGATAGCCCCAACCCAATGCGCTGCGACGCCACTGACCAGTCTCCCGAAGAAACTGCCCGCTATAGCCAACACAAGCATATACAGCGCCGTGCTCTCCGAACTGCCAAGACGTTCGCGCGCATACGTCGGGATATAGAAGTAAGGCACAATGTAGCCGAGGAAAGTGCTGAAAGAGCACGCAGTGAAGACGAGGAAGAGACGGTCATGGAGCGCTGACTTATCGAACAGTGCACGACGCTTTCGCTTATGCTTCAACCACGCGGAGCCAGAGAGCAGAGCGGGAATAGAAAGGAGAGCAGCGGCTAAAGCGACGAAACCTATAGCGCGAATAGCCCAAGGGAAACCAGCGGTCTTGGTAAGGCGGTCGAACATGATTATGTAGATCACGCCTCCTGGGGATAAATTGTTAGTTATGTTCCATTGCGTTTCGAGAGAGAAAGTCCTGGAGAAGACATACCAACAGCAATACCACTCATAACAACACCCATAGCCAACGCTCTCTTCTTGCTAAACCAGACACCCACCATGGCCAAACTAGGTATGTATAACAAGCCAGCTCCCATGCCCATACACACGCCCTGACTGAGAAACACATGCCAGTACTGCGTACTCAGACTAAGCATCATGATGCCTAGCACGACTAGGAAATTGCCAACGAGCAGCATGCTGCGGAAATAACCGAGATCGAACAAGGGCCCGGATAGCGTGCCAATAACAATGAGCAGCCAGGCTTGTACGGTGCCGATCCAGGATATAGCGCTGGGGGTAGAGGAGGTGAGGAGCGTAGTGCGGTAGTAGGTTTGGAAGGCGCCGTAGGTTAGGGTGAAGCCCCTGGGTGAGTACTAGTGTTAGCTCATTTCATTTGAGATGTAGAGATGTTGCAAGCGTTAACGTACCAGATGTTGATGTATATCATGAATCCTCCAAACACCTTCAGCCAGGCATGGAGTCCGCCATCTGGAGGTGGAGGAATAGCGGATTCGGCAGTCAAAGTTGATCTCGCATCTATTTGCGCTTCTTTGTCTCCTACTACCTCGTGGTTGCTTGCCGTTTCCTCTTGTTGATGGATGTCATCGTGGATCGAAGACGACGGGCGGCTCATGTCTTCTTGCGAGACTGCTTTGTCTCTAACAACATGTTTCTCCTCAACATCTGATTGGGACATCGCGTGCAAAGCTGCGTCGTCAAGCTTCTTGATTCTCAACACTACGGGGCGATCCTTTATAGGCTCCGCTAGCTATGCCGATGCACAATATTTAGTCACCGATTTTCTTCCTATGGGTATATGCCGATCATGCGATTGTTCCGACTCCTTGTCCGATTCCGGTCTCTGTGTTCCGAGTCATGCAGCACGTCCAAAGTTCCAGAACAAGTAGTCAAAGTAGGCTGCGGTCCGATTGTTGATTCTGATGTCAAAAGAATCAAGCAACACATCAACGGAAGTCGGGGAGGCGAAACAACAAATGCAGATCAGAAACGCGGAATTTACGCGCGGGGACTCCCACCGTCTAAATATCCCCACAAACACCCTTAGTGTCTGAGAGCCATTTAACGGTGACGCTTGCTAAGCGTTTTCTTTCCTCTTTGGTGGTGTTAGTTGGTGTGCGGGGATAATAGTCCCATGCCGAGGTCGGGAATATGCAGCAGGTTTCGTGGCGTTGAACGGCACTAGTATCACAAAGAGGACCACAATGTCGGTGTGTTCGTAACCGAAGCTTGTAGTAACGCTTGGTTGCCTCACAATCACTTGATCTATTTGCGGTTCTTCTGGAACTGCAATGTACGTTCACTGGATAAGTGAAACTCGATGCACTTGCATCGCATAAGATGCGTGGCTGGCTGTGAACGAACGCGGAATGCAAGCGTTCAAGTGTTGGCGTGCTGCGAAGATTGATTTGCGATCAGAAGTATGGGCGAAGCTGCTCAATGTATCTGTCACATGTGGTAACCAATTTTCGGCTTCCGTGCGTCGTCGACCACTGAGCTAGCTGCGCTGTTGGGAAGGCAGGAGTTGCGCCATGTAGACAAGGTCTGCTGGCAGCTTCATGTTTTTGGCAGCGCACAGACGTGCCATAGGCTCGCCATATAAGTCCAAGTAGCTGTATATGCAAAGAGTAAATCGCGAAGAGACGATGAAGCGGCGGTGAAGATTAATGAGCTTTGAATTGATGTATCCGTGATGTGTCTGAAAAAGCGACAATCGCAGATGGTCCGGCAAATTTGGTAGAATGTAGCCCGCAAAATATGTTATACAAGGAGTGCGCCGGTGCTGCCCAAGCTCTTCCACCGAGTCCGAGTCTAGGCGTCGTATCGAAGGTCTGTCTTCGAGGTCGCTCGTCGGCCGCTCGGAAGTTAAATCCAGAAAACAATCGATGTCATGTCTCCAAGCTCAAGCCGTTGGCTTTGCGAACTTGGCTTTCCTGGCCTCGGCAGCGGCCCTATCCTTCTCGCTCATCCAGCTTCCGCCAGGACCACCGCCAGTCCTGTTCTCGCGTGTGTTCTCGCGTGGGCGGTTGTCCCTGCTACGAGGGCGGTTGTCTCTCCGTCCTCCACGTCCTCCAGTACGACCTCCGTCTCGTCCTCCGTCTCGTCCGCCGTCGCGACGCCCCTCACGGCGCTTGTTGCTACCAGCTTCGTCACCACCGGCCTCGCGTTGGCGCTTCTCGCGGCGCTCTGGGAGAGCCTCATCGAGACCCTTGGGAGGACCGACCTCTCCAAACTTCTTAGCGCGCTCCAGCTTCTTGAGACCCTCATCGTCCTCGAATTTGGTACCAAACTTCAACGCGCGCTTCTTGCGCTTCTCAATCTCTTCGTCGAGGTTGGTGGCAGCAAGACCCCGTGTGTAATCAGGAGTGGGCTCCTTCTTCTCTTCTGGCTTGGGCTCTGTGCTGGCTTCGGCGGCGCCTTCCGCGGGCGGATCGATGGTCAGGTCGTCGGTTTGCGCAGGGTCGATGTCGGCGACTTGGTTGGGTACGGCTTGCGGGTTCGGTGGCTGGCCTTCGCCTCCAGCGTTTGCGACAATCTCTGCGTTAGGAATGACGGTCTCTTCTGTCGCTGTGGTGGTAGCAGCTGGTGCAGCAACGGCATCATCAGCTTCGTCGTCCCAGTCAATCTCATCTTCAGCGCCAGCGGCAGGCTTGTCGCCAGACTTCTCGTCGTCTTTTTGCAGGCGCTCGACCATCTCTGCCTTCTTGCCGGTGTGAGGTAGCTTGCGCTCCTTGAGGAGCGCCGACAGCTCGTCATTCTTCATCTTAGAGTAGTCCGACATGGCTGCGCGTGTGGTTGTGATGGGGGAGGTGAGCGACGTTGGTAAGGGCGACGCGACACGGACAGGGGCGCGTAAACTGGGAAGCTGCGAACGTGTTCGGATGCGCCACGAAGGTAATGAAGTCAATCAATGAGTTTTCCCGTGCCGCGCAATAATGGGGAAAAGAGAAGGAGAAAGAAGAAGCGCAGTGTTTGATAAAAGGCGCTGACTGTGGTCGAAACAATGGATTGGTTGTCGGCGAGGATCCACGGATGGATCGAGTGAGAGAGCTTTGACCACCGGAGCTAGACTACTTCCGGTGCCCGGATCGCTCTTGCTGAACCCTGGTATTGTGTTTCAACCGGACAATCACATCGCATCCAGTGGAGCCTGCTCGGAAGTAACTTTGAGACGAACAATAGGATCGTTTCCTCATTTTACGATAGGTCAATTGATGCACGCTACCATGTACTTTAATGTCAACAGTACAACCACGCCTTCCAAGACGCGTTTCACCGTGTTTACCTGTTGCGAATCAGAAGGCAGATTAAGTCCAGAGACTGAGGCAGCGACTCGGAGCAAAAGCATACAATTGGAAAGCTGTGTTTGGTTCACTGCTCGTCAAGTGGCATTTTGACACGTTAAGAACTGCCCGGCATGCAGCACGAGATCGTCGTAGTCTGGCGCAAGTAACGGGTCTGAACTTATGGCATCCATTTCATTCTTTGAGCAGAAAACCTTGACGAATTAACAGTGAAGGAAGGTATAGGGAGATATGCAGGGGATCGCAGGCCCCATTGAGGCATCTCAGAACGAGGGTCCGAGCTGATGCGTCATCGGCTATCGGCGGTATTCTCACGAACAAAAGTGTCAGACAGCCTCTCAATCATCAATCGCGATGCCCCCATGTTCATAGCCCGGACACGCACGTGCTTCTTGCGCGGTTTACCAATCGCTCGTCTTTACCACAGCGCTGCCAAAATGGAGAAGCGCGACTACGCGGTACGTCAGCAGCAGTGCGCATGTGGGTTGAGCTGATAATCACAGGCTGCGGTTGCGGCGCTGAACACGCTTCAGTCCAACTTCTCCATAGTGGATGCGATTCGCAAGTCTGGTCGGGGTATGAACCAACAAGCGATACCTGAGATGATCGAATGGTGTCGCAAAGCTGGATATGAGGTGTGCGGCTCCCACTGACCCCACCCGAGGACCGCGACTGACGAAGCATTCAGCCCTCAGAGTTCGACCGGTTGAAACCCATACACATCGCCGGTACGAAAGGCAAAGGCTCTACGAGTGCTTTCATCTCGTCTATCCTATCACAATACACCACCCCCGGCGACACGCAGACCCCACCTTCGAAGATCGGTCTCTATACCTCCCCACATCTACGATTCGTACGCGAGCGCATACAGATCGACAATGAACCGATATCAGAGGAGAAGTTTGCGAAATATTTCTTCGAGGTGTGGGACAAGCTGGAGGCTGCGGCGAAGGCGGAGAATGCGCCAGCAGAAGTTCCTACAAAGCCAGTATACTTCCGCTATCTGACGCTCATGGCGCTACACGCGTACCTGAAGGAAGGTGTGGACTCGGCTGTTATCGAATGTGGAATCGGCGGCGAGTTCGACAGTACGAACATCCTCACGAAACCCACCGTCACAGCCGTCACAACGCTAGGAATAGACCACACAGCGATGCTTGGTTCTACGCTTCCAGAGATAGCCTGGCACAAAGCCGGGATCTTCAAGGAAGGCAGTACCGCATTTACAGTGCGCCAAAAGGAGGAGGCCATGCCAGTCTTGGAAGAGCGGGCAGCCGCGAAGGGCACGAAGCTACACACTATTGATGTGCATCCAGCTTTAGCGCACAACGAGATCAAGCTTGGGCTAGGTGCAGCCTTCCAGAAGATCAACGCGTCCGTGGCGATAGCTGCCGCAGCGGCACATCTGCGAGCACTTGGGCACACTTCTGTACCCGACCCAACCATTGTTCCGCACATTGGGCTCCCCTCTGAGTTCATTCGCGGTCTGGAACAAGTGCGATGGTCTGGCAGATGCGAGATCAGACGCGAAACCAACGTCGCATGGCATATCGACGGAGCCCACACTATGGAAAGCATAGAGGTCACTGGCAAATGGTTCGCGGAGCAGATAACACTGGCGACTTCCACTGCCACCTCTCAATCCAAGGTCCCTCGGATATTGGTCTTCAACCAACAGACACGAGACGCGAATGCGCTGGCCAAAGCCTTGTATGAAGCCCTACAGAGCGGTATCACTTCGGGATCACAGTCTCCTTTCACTCATGTCATCTTTACGACCAACCAAACATTCAGCGAGGGGTACAAGCCTGATCTCGTTTCGATAAACACCAATCAGCAGGACGTAAACACTCTGGCAGTTCAGAAGGCGCTCGCGAACACATGGTCTGAAATAGACAGCACTGCAGAAGTGCATGTGCTGCGCACCATCGAAGAGGCAGTCGTAACCGCACGAAAGGTGGCGCAAGACTATGCCAAGGAATCCGGGGCTGATGCAGAAGTCATGGTGCTGGTGACTGGAAGCTTGCACTTGGTTGGCGGTGCGCTGGAAGTGTTGGAAACGACCACAGCGCAGTGAAGAGAGATACCCATAGACACCACAGAGATGAGAAAGCGCTTCAACACGCGCTAAAAATCGTTCAAAAGAATTGCATATATTATACATTACACGTTCCGGCCCACCTACTCAGACTTTTAAATAAACGTGGCTTAGGCTGATCGCAGGTCGCGTGCTCACTTGCCGGCTGGGGAAAATTCCCCTTTCGAGAGATCATGATATGGATCTTGTCTTTTCCAAGTTGTTACATTCAAGGTTAGAAGCAACGCCAACATGTATTATTCAAACAAGAGATAATTTTGCATATTGTAGTCAGCATTGAGAGTACTACATGGCCCAGACTACCCCAGACTTTACCGCTTCGGCATCGGCTGCACGGCTGGGTACTCATCGCTTCACTTCGGGCAACATCGGATCCGATCTTCTTCGTGATCTCCACCGGCCGCGCATCATTACGTGTCGAAGCGCGAGCCGAACATCCGGTCGCAGTGGTCGCAACTGTTGACAATATGATGAGCACAAACATAGCTATGCATTATCTCCAAAAGCTGAAGTTTGAAACAGTGACAGCTGATGTATACAAGACCCATCAAAAGAAGGAGCACCCGTTCGGCCGTTGTCGCGTGGCGGGCCTGGGGTCGGTCGTCTTGGCACTCGGCGCTGGCTTCTGTTTGGGCAACGACATGACGGAAGAGCCGCTAACCGACCATAGTGACCACTGCTAGTTCTTTGGGATTGTCATATGTTCCCGACTATTTCCATCACCAGTGATCTCCACGTCATCCTTCGAACATATTAACTCGTCGTTCGCGCTCCACTGGACTAGACCGCTGTCACTACCACCGAACGCACCTTTGATCGTCTCCACGACCGGAAAGGAGAGCTTGGCAACCGAGGTCCCAAAATGAACTGCCCTTCCAGAACCGATGACGACGTGCTTTGGAACCCAGGATGGAATCAGAATCCGCCACGTTTCGCTGCTGATCTGACGACTTGCGAGGATCTGAACGGCATCGCGAACGCAAGAGAATTGGGGGAAGCAGATCGACTGCGCAGCGGCACGCGGAGTTTGCGGCGGTGTGAACTCGACGAATTCAATGGCCAAGAGATGGAGAAGAGAAAGCCAAGCCACACTGGGGAGGGTGTCAAAGGGTCCCCCAAAGGTTCGTTACAACTTCGTGATGACTCAACGATGGAGGCTGAGATGCTGACTCTTGTCTAGGACCTTGCACCCAAACAATCGCGCACGTGAGCGAGCACCAAGCTGGCCTCACCACCACTATCTTCAGCTGGACAAAGTGGCTGGTATCGGTAATCTGCACTTCGATGCTGATCTCCTATGCTACCGGAAACCTGTCTACGCCCAAGTTTTTCTTACCAAAAGGTGAGATGAAACAGCCCCAATGGCGTCAAAGCGTCAACACTAACATCGAATTCCCAGACCCGACAAACCAGCGTCTTCCCAGGCGGAGCACCTGCGAAGATGGCAAAGCCCAGCCCAACTACGATCTGGGCCTACATGTCGCCGGCCTTTTCATCATTCTTTTCGTTTCAGGCACTGGATGTGCCTTCCCAATGCTAGTCCTCAAGTTCCCGCGGCTGCGCATCCCACCTGCCTTCCTTTTCGGCGCGAAGCATTTCGGCACCGGTGTTTTGGTCGCGACTGCCTTCGTCCACTTACTTCCTACCGCTTTTGGCTCACTGAACGACCCCTGTCTGTCGAGCTTTTGGACAACCGATTATCAGGCTATGCCGGGCGCGATTATGCTAGCTAGCGTTTTCTTCGTCACCTTAATCGAAATGGTCTTTTCTCCAGCCCAACATGTCTGCGGTGGTAACGAGGGTGCGGAAGCTGTTTCGCGCCGCAAGGAAGAACCGAAGACTGAAAACGAAGCGCCTGCTCCACCGCAACCAGCAATGCAGAGAACCTACTCAGATACCAGCATGCGAGTCCGCGATCTAGGCGTCTTGCGTGGAAGAGTCGGGAGCATTAGTAGAACGCTCTCCCGGTACCGTGAGGATGGCCAGCGACTCGATGCCATCGAATCTGTGGGCGGATCTGAAGCGGAAACCCCGGGCGCCCGAAGCAAGGAAGCAAATGACGAGTATGCTATCGAGGAGGACCAAGAGACTGGAGAGCACGACCATGTGCTCACCCCAGAGCAAATTCACAAGAAAGCCATCATGCAGGTGTTCCTCCTGGAAATGGGTATCCTGTTCCACAGCATCTTCATTGGAATGTCGCTTGCTGTTTCAGTTGGCAACGACTTCACCGTGCTACTGATCGCTATCGTATTTCATCGTATGTCACCCCTGTAACCCGACAGTGCCTGTATACTGACTTTGATAGAAACCTTCGAAGGCCTCGCACTTGGTGTACGTATCGCCGACATCAAATGGAAGCCACGCGCTGCACAGCCTTGGCTTATGGCTCTCGCGTATGGTTGCACGTAAGCCCTCCCTCCCTCCATCCACACTTGTTGTGTCCCGCTAATACAATACCCAGCACGCCCGGCGGCATGGCAATCGGCATAGCGACACACACTTTGTACTCACCCGACTCTGAAGTCGGTCTCCTCGTCGTCGGTATCATGAACGCTATCTCGGCTGGTTTCCTTGTCTTCGCTTCGCTTGTGGAACTCATGTCGGAGGACTTCTTGAGTGATGAGAGTTGGAAGGTGCTCAAGGGCAAGCGCAGGGTGTATGCTTGTTTGCTTGTGTTCCTTGGGGCCTTTTTGATGAGCTTGGTGGGAGCTTGGGCGTAAAGAGAGGATGGTGGAGGATGGTGGAGGATGGGAATGTGGGTGAGTGGGGAGGAAGAAGGGTGTGCTGGATGGCTGAATATATGGGGGCGTCGAAGTAGGGGGGCATGGGAAGAAATTGTACATGGATCTGGGAACGGGATGTTGGATGGTAGTGTAGTGTAGATTGGAAAGTCTGCAGTTATGTATGTGGCAACCGACGTCCATCGTTACTGCGCCAGCCAGAACAAACGTATTGGTAGCCAGTGGGATGAAAAATAGCCATTCGCAGAAATCTCAATGTTGCATCGTAGTCTCCACTATATCTTAACACACTCAGCCATGAGATGGCACATGGGAAAGTTCATCTCATCACTCCCCAGCTCCGTCGTAGACCCCTTCAGCCCCACGCCCGTAGTCCTCCTCATGACCAGCGGCCCCTTGGTCAAGCCAGACCACCTCACGCTCCCCTCGCCCAATACAATCAACCTCTTCTCCTCCGGCGTGCCCACCTTCTCCACCGCACGAAAAGCCGGATGAAGAGGCTCAGGCCCCCTGTGGTGCGGAATCCCCGTCTTCCTAACCTCCCTCACCACCGCCCTAAACCCCAACTCTTCACCCAGAAACTTATTCAGTCCGAATTTCGCGTCCGAAAAAGCATTCCCAACCGCAAACCCATGATCAAGATTGACACCCACCCCCAACCACCCCTTCTTCCTCCCCACCTCCCCATCCATCAACCCCGTAACCCCCCTCACCAACCCCGCACAAACATCCCCCGCACACCTCTTCCCCCCTTTACTCTTCAGCGCCCCATCAACCGGCTCCCACAGTATCTGTACTTCATACCTCGCCACTTTCCCCAACCACGGAAAGGATTTAGCCAGTTTGCGTAAATGGGCTTGGATTTTCTTGTCCCAGTCCGAGGGGACGAAGGTGTTTATGCGGCCGCGGAAGTGGATGGAGAAGAGGAGGGTTAGGCTGTTGGAGAGGAGGTAGGAGGCGTATTCGCGGCTTTCGGGGATGAAGGTAGGGTCCAGGGAGAGGAGGCCGGGGGTGCTGTGGTGGATGGGGAGGAGGGTTGTGGTTGTGTGTTTGCAGGTGAAGATTTTGAGGCCGAGGGGGAGGTAGTTGTTTGTAGGCGTGGAAGTGGAGGTTGGTTGGGAGAGGTAGGCGTATATTTCGTTGCGGAGTTCTGGGGGGAGGGAGGGGAAGAGGGGCGTTGGTGGTGACGTTGCCATGGCCGGTTTTAGAATGGGGGATCTTGTGGCCTGTTGCAGAATACGTCGATATCCAGAGGTTTAACGTGAAGTCCGATCAGAGGTATTGCCGACTTCAGATCGCTGTGTCGAGTTTAGGAAAGTAAACGTATGGGTAGTAGGAGCAGATGTAGTCCTAAGATCACGATCGATACCAACTCCAAGCAGCAGCTGGGTGACCACAACCGAGCCTATTGTCTCGATACCACAATAGCAACCAAGCGTCTAGCCGGAGTGAACGCGCGATCACGTGACAGCGCAGCCTGTTGCCCCAGGTGAAAGCAGTGACCCTAGTTGGTCTTTCTGTGTCAGCCTCGCTTCCATACTGCTTGAAAGAGTCTCTATACCTTCTCAAACTTCTATGCCACCGAAAGTTCTAAAGTGAGCAAAACTGAAAATGAACAATTTTTCCGGAAGGTGGTGCTTTTCGGCAGCGGCTCGGCACTTTGCGCTTTTAGGTAGCGGCGACGATGGTGGATCTGGGTTTTTTCCGTGGAGCAGATCGAGAACGAGAGCGGGTCTCGTTATGGGTTCATCTTTTCGTCTTAGTTCTTTGTGTCCGAGTTGATCTGCGCCGTGTTGCGTGCTCTTGCGACGTCTTTGTGGGAAGAGTCGAAAGAGGGAATTGTTCTTGTGTAGACATGTGTTGATGGGAGATAGCCTGACGCACAGGAAAGAGAAATTATTTATGTCATGTTGTCCAGATTGAGCATTGTCGTTGTTGCGATGTCAACTATGGTTGAGTTTGGATCGCGGCCCTCGTCTACCATTGTCAATATGCGCAGACTAGTGGGCGTGGCTACATGCTGTTGGATTGGGCATGTATTAATCGTATGGGCTTGCAGTTGAACGTTAGAGACCAAATGCAATAAGGGTGCAGCCATGGTTCATATAGCCTCTGGTTGAGTCATCGAGTGTTCATCATGTTCTTTGGGTCAAAGATGGCTGCGCCACGCATCTGACAGCCCCGGTCCGTGCGTCCCAACTAGCGAAGGGGGGAGAGTTCAACAGCTACGGCCATGATGTAGAGCCAGAAAAGGTATCGATTTACTACATGCAGCATATAGAGGTTCGTTAAGCGCGCCAAACTCCTGCCCAAAGAACGCCGGCCTAAGCTTTTGATGCATCATATACACATACTCGAACCTACAGGGCCTCAGCAGCAGCCTTGGCCTTCTCAACCTTCGCACGCTTTCTGCGCAGGTTCTCAGACTCGTTTTCGCGCTTGTTCTCGCCGTATTCGATACGCTTGAGCAGCTTGCGCTTCTTGTTGGATAACATCATCTTTTGCCTCTCGCGCTCCTCCTCTTCAGCGCGCTTCTTCTTCTCTGCCTTCTTGCGAATGACGGCGTTCTCCTCTTTCTTGGTCGGCTTCTTGACCTCGAGCTTCTTGCCAGTGGCCTCAGCTTCCAGTTCACGCTGGTGCTGAAGACGGGCAGCCTCTCCTTCTGAGATGTCTGACTCGGCATCGGAGTCAAAGCCGTCGAATTCCTCACCACCCGCGCCAGCTTCATCTGATTCGTCATCATCGCTGTCGTCTTCAGACTCGTCAGCGACATCCATGCCCTCGCCAACCTCCACTGAGCCTTCACGGTCAACGATGGCGTCCATGTCTTCGTCTCCATCAACGTCGAAAGTGGCCTCCTCGTCATCGTCCTCAAACGCCTCAGCCTCGCCCTCTGGTTGTTGTGCCGCAAGAGGCAGGTTGGGGTCGTATTCGCCCTTCTTTGGCTTGACCCAAGGGCTGAGATGGGGAGGCAGATCTGCGCCAGGGGCGTAGTGGTCTGGTCGCAACAGCTTGCCCTGGTTTATGCTGTCCCAAACCCACTGTGGCTGGACATAGGTGCGTCCAGGCATCATAGAGTATGGCCATTGGGCCTTGGGCGCAGCAGCACCGTCCTCCTGTGCAGGAGCACCGTTGGAAAGCGCAGGTCGATCGACGATCTGATGTGTGATGTTCGGGTCCGACTCGTTGGTTGTGAAAGCGCCATCGCCTAGCGTTCCGTCCCAACCCACTCTCTTGCAGCCAAATGCCTTTAGTATGAACTCGAGCGATGCTCTGGGTGTCTCTCGTGCGAGATAGAAGGTGAACGGCGCGAATAACGATGCGATTTCGGCGCTGCTTGCTTGGGGCTGGGGCAGGATATCGGCATCGGGCGCAGTCGGCTCGAACTTGTCAATCTCGTCGTTGGCCTCCTCTTCGTCGCCTTCAGTGACAACCTTGGCTACGGCGGTGGTGCTCTCCTCTTCTTCGGCATCTGGCATAGCTGCAAGCCTGTCCGCAATCGCCTGTGCCTCGGGGTTAACCGCACCATTCTCATCGTGGCCGTTTGCGTCGTTCGTAGCGGTGGCCTTGCCCTCAAGCTGGAACGCAGCAAGCTCTCCACCCTGCTCGTCGCTCTTTGCGTTGAACTTGGGAGGGTATACCAGGCCGACCGAAGTGTAGAGGCGGTAGTTGACGAAGCCGAGCAGCGTTGTGTAGAACTCGACGAAAGTGCCCATGATCCTGAAATCGATGTCGCCGCCTGTCCGCTGAACGAACCTGTATGGTACCAGCCAGAGAATGTCCTGACCTTGGATCGTCGCCTGGTAGTAGATACCCTTAATGGAGAGGAAGGACTTGCGGAGGGCGTGGGAGGTGATTACGTAGTGCTCGAACTCGCGGGTCAGTCGCTGGCAAAGGGCGATGGTCTTGGCGGGGACGTGGTCGCTCGAGGGGAGGTTGGCGAAGAGGAACAGCATGGAGAGGGCATCGTCGAGGTCGCGCAGGGCGTCGACGAAGGTAGGGTAGCGCTCCTTGATGATGTGGTCGAGCTTGACCTTGGGCATCAGGTTCTTCTCGAGGCGCGATGCATCGCCGGACTCGCCGCGACCGAGAGCGCGACCGATCTTCTTTGCGACAGCCTTGTGCTCGCGGAACTTGGCCAGCAGCGGCTCGTGGAGCAGGTACTGGATGTCCTTGGTGTAGTAGAAGGTGGTGCCGGCGGTAGAGCCCCTCGAGACCTTCTTCTTGTTGCGCGGCTCACGGGGGTAGATTCCCTTGAAGATGCATAGTCGTCTGAAGTCGGGGAGCGAGATCTGAAGCTTCTTCACGGCGCGCGTGCGGGTGATGTAGTTCTTGGCCGCACCGGAGGTGCCTGTAAACGGATTAGCAAGGAATCTCTCTCGATAATTGACGGCGATGCGTACCCTTCTTTTTTGAGCGACCAGCCATTGTAGAGAGAGGATCAAATCGCGATTTTGTCGGTGCAGACGGTCGAACTTTTGGCGGGCGCAAAAAAGTTAGAGATGCGGCCAACTAGCGGACATGGATCCGGCGTTAGCGCGACCAGGGTCCACCGACATGCATCTTGCCAGAACTCCAGCGCCGAGGTGTCGAGAACCGCCATGGAGCCAATGAGTGCATAGCTCAAAGTGACCATGGCCATTGACACGCAGCGCAAGATGCTGCTCTTTGCAGCCGCCGCTGCCGTGCGCCTGCTCCTCTTCACTGTCTTTCCCGCCCTGCCAGACCTCCTCGCCGGACGTGTCGAGGTGTCAACACCAGTGACGAGCTTCAAGAGATGTATGTACCTGGCATGGTCTGTGTCTAGCACTACTGACACCTACCAGTGCAAGAGGGCGTCTTCCTCTACACCCACAATGTCTCTCCCTACGACGGCGGCGTATATCACCAGGCACCCCTCCTGCTGCCGCTCTTCTCCCTCTTCCCCAACCCGGCCCATGCCCCGCTGGCGACCAACATCTTCTATACCGTCGTGGATTTATTAAGCGCGAATGCCTTGGCTCAAGTGGCAGAGAGCGGCTTCGCGTCGGTCACGCGCCTGTTCGCTTCCCCGCGGAAGGACTTGAGATGGAGTAGTGTGGCTATTGCAGCAGGGTAGGAATACTACACCTCTCTGGAGGACATATACTGACATCTTCCAGCTTCCTCTTCAATCCCTTCACTGTTCTGACCTGCGTCGCGCGCTCCACCTCGGCCCTCACCAACCTCTTCATCCTTACGGCCATGGCTAAGGCGTCCCAAGGGGCCAGCTTCACCTTCATACTGGCCACGGCTTTCGCATCGTACTTTGCCATGCACCCGATCCTTCTCTTCCCTCCGCTCATGGTTCTCCTCTACGATGCGAAGACTTTAAAGAGAAGGGCCGCGCCGGATGTCGCATCCTTCATCATAACCCATACTCTTGGCATCACAGGCGCAATAGGCATCCTGCTCACTGGCTCTGCGTTCTTGATGGGCTCGTGGGACTTCCTGTCGGCGACATACGGTGTGCGCCTTCTATTACCTGACCTCACGCCGAATGTTGGACTTTGGTGGTACTTCTTCATCGAGATGTTCGACTCTTTCCGAGAGTTCTTCCTTGGCGTATTCTGGCTACACGCGGCGTCGTATATGCCAGGCCTTACCATTCGCCTTCACAAGCAGCCATTGTTCGTTGCTTGCACCTTGACCGGCGTGTTCGCCATTTTCACACCATACCCGAGCATAGCGGATGCTGCGCTCTACCTGTCCTTGGTACCCATGTTCCGTCATCTGTTCCCTCGTGAGTGTTACTTTCTTTCAAACTCATGTAGCAATACTAATGCATCCCAGTCATGCGCTACACGTTCTTGGCTTCATCCGCTATCTTATACACATCGTTCTTGGGCCCTGCCTTCTACCATCTTTGGATTTACGCAGGATCGGGAAACGCCAACTTCTTCTATGCCATCACGCTGGTCTGGAGTTTGGGACTGTCCATCATTCTAGGAGATTCGCTATACGCAGCCTTGAGGGATGAGCTGGACGTGGAGAGACCCGAATTACTGGGTAAAGAAGTACGTAGGATATAGCTTCTTCGTACGTTGGCCTATACCTTGTCATCTTTAATCGACTCGAGAATAGACCGGAAGATATGCGCAATATCCTGTGGTAACCGGGCGTGACTTTCGATACCATAACCAAATAGGTCTCGTTGTGAACCACGCCAAGCTTTTCG